TTTATTGGCACTTCATTGATAAAAGTAAAGAATATCTGGCAAAAATTCAAAAACAAGTAAACGGATACTGAGGGGAATGGAAATTAACAAACAATCTTGATGACAAGACAAAGGCGATGGTATTTAAAAAAAGCGGAATTAATTCAACTTTGCGCAGAATACAAATATTTAGAAATATTATTCAAGCCATCTGGAATTTTCACCAATGCTGTAAATCTCCTTATTAGAAATACATTAAAATCATTGTTTTGTATAACGAAAATGGTGATAAGACAGAAGTTTTTTCATTGTATAAAATTTTCTTATTTTTGTGTTAGTCCAATCATGCTTTATTTCTATTTTTTACTAAATATTGTAAAGAACAACAACATATTGAATCAGAATATTTGTCAATATAATAAATAAAACTTTTAATCTACTTTGCAAAAAATCTACACGGAGTTAATTCAAAAGCTGTTAATAAAGCTGTATTATCGGAATTATAAATGTTCCCCGTTTGTATACAGGCTCCAAGGTGTCTTCTATGGGATTCTTGATGCATAACTAAAACGCAAGTTAGTCTTTACTGTATGATGTTAATAAAAGTTGATCATCAGTTACATGAACGATTCGCTTCAAATATTTAATTATCATTACTATCAAATTTGTGAATTTTTCTGATGTTTGGGAAAATGAAAATACTAGTTTCTAAAAAACAAAATAAAAAACAAAACAAACAAATACGATTGCTTTCTGCATTAATAAAGAAGCCTAATAAAATTAAAATTTTTTTTTGTGGAAAAAATGTCTTTTTCACGATGAGAATGGAAATTAGTAAAGAACTTACAAAAAGATAGAATTACATGATGTACATACACCGATTGCCACTGCACGTAAAGTAACTAACAAGCACTCAAGGACAGGCACATAAAGAATGCGGGGTCAAACTTGTTTGTGGGCCCTCAACCCTCCCCTAACTTCGGTTAGTGGTGTTACAGCACATCAGAGCGATGCAAAGCAGAAAAACATCCACTAAAAGAGGGACGAAAGATACCAGAGGGACAGTCAAACTCATAGATCGAAAACTAACTGACAACGCCATGGCCAAAAATAAAAAGACAAACAGACAAATAATAGTACAGATGACACAACATAGAAAACAAAAGACTAAGCAATAGGAACCCCACCAAAAATTGGGGGTGATCTCAGGTGCTTCGGAAGGGTAAGCAGATCCTGCTCCACATGTGGCACCCGTCATGTTGCTTATGTTATTACAAATCCGGTAAATAGTCTAATACGGTAAGTCACATTCGTGAAAAGGGAGGGTATTGTAGTTACGACATAAGGAACATATCCGATATCATCTGTGAAACGGTTATTCCATAACGGTCAACCAAACAGTCCGGTCGTGGCAGGGTATTTATACATCCCTTATAACAAAAAAGACATTAAGTACAGAACTGAGAGAAATCGCAGTTACTGACAGCTAGTTCAAAGCCAATAACAACTAATAACAAAATCATGTATCTAAGACTAAAATATTAATCAGTACACATCCAATATCCAATGGATTTACTGCAAAGACGTCATTAACAGTCAGAGAAAAACATGATATTGTACAATGTCAAAATAGTTATTGACATATTGCAGTAGTGTGAAAGTGCATATTTGTATAACAATAATATTTAGAATGGTTTTGATTTACTGATAACAAAATCAATATTAATACCAATAAAAACAATATTCAAAGATTTAATAACAGTGTTGAATTGGTAACCTTATAGAATAAGTTTATTTAAAGGATTGATGTGCTATTCCGTTTGAAATAAGTTTTCTACAGGTACAGCCAAACTTGCAAACCAAATCTTTGTTTCTATGGAAGAATTTAGTAAAGATTTTAAGTAATTTGTGGTAACGAGATCCCTGACTTGATAATTTACCAGTAATACATATATTACGCTCACTGAAATCCAAAACGTCACTACAGAAACGTAAATAGCGAACTAAAATTGAGAATGGAAATGGGGAATGTGTCAAAGAGACAACAACCCGGCCATAGAACAGACAACAGCAGAAGGTCACCAACAGGTCTTCAATGCAGCGAGAAATTACCGCACCCGGAGGCGTCCTTCAGCTGGCCCCTAAACAAATATATATACTAGTTCAGTGATAATAAACGCCATACTAAACTCCAAATTGTACACAAGAAACTAAAATTAAAAATAATACAAGACTAACAAAGGCTAGAGGCTCCTGACTTGGGACAGGCGCAAAAATGCGGCGGGGTTAAACATGTTTATGAGATCTCAACCCTCCCCCTATACCTCTAGCCAATGTAGAAAAGTAAACGCATAACAATACGCACATTAAAATTCAGTTCAAGAGAAGTCCGAGTCTGATGTCAGAAGATGTAACCAAAGAAAATAAACAAAATGACAATAATACATAAATAACAACAGATTACTAGCAGTTAACTGACATGCCAGCTCCAGACTTCAATTAAACTGATTGAAAGATTATGTCTTCATCATATGAATATCAGGCACAATCCTTCCCGTTAGGGGTTTAGTATCATACCATCATAACATATATGAGAAGAACATAACCCGTGTCATGCCAACAACTGGTTTTTAAATAATTGTGTTTAGTGCCGATGCAAAGAACTAGTTGGAACATAATGGATAAGGGCTAAAATAACCTCTTGCAAAAGACAACCGTAAGAATCCTTCTAGGAGTCGTTACAATTGTACCTTACTGAATTGAAGAGAACTCAGCACTTCTCCTTCACTGGGCATTTAACGACCCCATTCCGACCGGACGTTGCTACGCATTTATACATCCCACACAGAATACGGATGCAAATTGTAGGGAAGTCGTACCCCTCAAACGAAGAGACTTGAACCTATTCATATAATCGAGGGTACCATCGGAAATGGGTATCTTCTGCCTTGATCAGTGCTCTCGTTTTTAAAATGGTGTCTATGGTTAATACGGGTGTGATATTAAAAAAGCAATTTTATGTTCTCTATGTATTGTATTACTAATTTACACTGGAAATAATTCAGTGTCAAAACACTCTGATAAAATTTTACGTCCCTTAATGGACCTAACACCCTCTGATAGAATGTTACGTCCATTGATGGACCAGACACCCTCTGATAGAATATTACGTCCCTTGATGGACCAGACACCCTCTGATAGAATGTTACGTCCCTTCATGAACCAGACACCCTCTGATAGAATGTTACGTCTCGTCATGAACCAGACACCCTCTGATAGAATGTTACGTCCCTTCATGAACCAGACACCCTCTGATAGAATGTTACGTCTCGTCATGAACCAGACACACTCTAATAGAATGTTACATCCCTTTATGGACCTGACACCCTCTGATAGAATTTTACGTCCCTTGATTGACCAGACACCCTCTGATAGAATGTTAGGTCCCTTTATGGACCAGACATCCTCTGATAGAATGTTACGTCCCTTTATGGACCAGACACCCTCTGATAGAATTTTACATCCCTTTATGGACCAGACACCCTCTGATAGAATATTACGTCCCTTGATGGACCTGACACCCTCTGATAGAATGTTACGTCCCTTCATGGACCAGACACCCTCTGATAGAATGTTACGTCCCTTTATGGACAAAACTACCTCTGATGGAATGTAACGTCCCTTCTGATAGAATGTTACGTCCTTTAATAGACCACCCTCCCTTATGATAGAATGTTACGTCCCTTAATAGACCACCCTCCCTTATGATAGAATGTTACGTCTCTTTATGGACCAGACATCCTCTGATAGAATGTTACGTCTCGTCATGAACCAGACACCCTCTGATAGAATGTTACGTCTCTTTATGGACCAGACACCCTCTGATAGAATGTTACGTCCCTTTATGGACCAGACACCCTCTGATAGAATGTTACGTCTCGTCATGAACCAGACACCCTCTGATAGAATGTTACGTCCCTTTATGGACCAGACACCCTCTGATAGAATATTACGTCCCTTGATGGACCAGACTTCCTCTGATAGAATGTTACGTCTCGTCATGAACCAGACACACTCTAATAGAATGTTACATCCCTTTATGGACCAGACACCCTCTGATAGAATATTACGTCCCTTGATGGACCAGACTTCCTCTGATAGAATGTTACGTCTCGTCATGAACCAGACACACTCTAATAGAATGTTACATCCCTTTATGGACCTGACACCCTCTGATAGAATTTTACGTCCCTTGATTGACCAGACTCCCTCTGATAGAATGTTACGTCCCTTTATGGACCAAACACCCTCTGATAGAATGTTAGGCCCCTTTATGGACCAGACACCCTCTGATAGAATATAACGTCCCTTGATGGACCAGACACCCTCTGATAGAATGTTACGTCCCTTTATGGACCAGACACGCTCTGATAGAATGTTACGTCCCTTGATTGACCATACACCCTCTTTTACGTCCCTTGATGGACCAGACACCCTCTGATAGAATGTTACGTCCCCTTATGGACCTGACACCCTCTGATAGAATGTTACGTCTCGTCATGAACCAGACACCCTCTGATAGAATGTTACGTCCCTTTATGGACCCGACACCCTCTGATAGAATTTTACGTCCCTTGATTGACCGGACACTGTCTGATAGAATGTTACGTCCCTATATGGTCTAGCCTGTGAATATATACATTCTGCTTTCATTATTCCTATGAATTATGTTACACCGACCTTACTGGACTATATTTTTAATACCATAAAATTATCAAAACAAAATAGAAATATAATCGAGCTAAAGGTACATATGAACAAACTTATCTTTCTCTACATACAAGATGAAATAAACAACAGAAAAAGGGACACATACATTCATTATAGATCTTAATTTATTTACCTATCGTATTGTAATTAATACTTACATGATTCTCTTGATTGTAGAGAAGGATACTTGGTGCACCTCGAAGATACGTCAATTTCTAAATGTGTCAGACTCAAACCTTCAGTATAAATACCTTGATGATACTTTTTATTTAAGTTTTGAAATCCTGATGCTTCAATATGTAAAAAGTTAGTATAGTATTCTTCTAAAGAAAATTCAAATATATTAACTTTGAATCGGTCTATTGCTTTTTGTAATATATCACAACTGTAATTCCTGATGTGAATGCTCAAACTTTCATTTATTTTAAAAACGTTATCGTATTTAACATTATACAACTGTGGTAAAGGCCAAGGTTCTCCGATGGTAGAATTCGGGGCTCTTTTTATCCTAAAGTCTGGCGAAGTTTTAAACCGCACCTCATACCTTCCTTTCAAAAACGAAATAGATAAATTTTCTTTCCTTTTATAAAGCTGATATCGTGAATTCGACAGTAAATTTACTTTCCTTTTATGAAATTGATGCTGTGATTCTATCAAAGAAAACGATAAAAAGATTCCCAAATAACTGAAATACATGTCTACATGTAAAACAGGTGATGTCGAAGTAGTGTTTGAAAATAATGAAGAGTGCAGATAAGCAACATCTGTCACTAGAATATTTTTTTTTTTTTTTTTTTTTTTTTTTTTTTATATTTACATTTTATTATCGTTCTTATAATCAATATTTAAACTGACATTTCTGTGCGTATATGGGCGTAACGTCATTATTAGAAAGATCAAATACAAAAGTTAAGTCAACTGAATTATGAAAAACTTATTTTGTTATTGAACTTTGTATGGATCAAAACTGATAGATTTCTATTATGAATTTCAAGTCTTGGTTTGTAAAAATTTATAAAAAGGAAAATAATAAACATACGGTTACATGAATTGTGACAATTAAAAAAAAAACGAATTTAAGATTAACAATATGTGTGTATGAATCCGACCTGACTCTGAGTGCGAATAAGAATATTAAGACTGGAAAAATTCTGGTGTGATTTCAAAATTATTACTTATATTTTTTCATTAGCACAAATTTTGTACTTATATGTACGTTTTTGCAAAAAGGTTTCTAATTGTATGATATAGAACAATAAAGTGCATATAATCATATGTAGATTGTGTACAACCATTCACATCATCACTCATCATCTTTTTTTTTACATATTCAGTATATATGATGTATTGTATTATTTGCATGCATGCTTTGTAAATATTCTATTTTTATAAATTGTTCATGAGAGAAGACTTTATGAGTTTGATTTTAACTTATGTCGCATCCCTTTTGCATCTTAAGCAAATAAAATATGTTTAAAATAAACGTTTTTGCATGTCCAATAATAGCCGGAAGTCGGAGACGGTTATTTTTGTGCTCTGGGCCAATATCGATATTTGTCCATAAATACCCATGTATATTGAGCCCCCGAATTCAACTTCCGGAAAGCCTGTCAATCAAAAACAACAAACAAATATACGATAAATAGATTATTACATGGAATTTTCCATATTGGACCTGATATCAGCACTCGGGCTACATCCTCTGGCTTGATATGGGAGTCTCGGGCTACATCCTCTGGCTTGATATGGGAGTCTCGGGCTGATACCACGGCCAATGTGGAAATACCATGTAATAATCTATAATTGTAGTATTTATCAAATTTTCAGCTATTAAGCAATCATAAAACAAATTTTAACCGGCTTTAAGTTTCAGAAATGAATGCCTACAAAATGTTGAGCCTTAAGAACTTTACAATATTCTAAGTTTGTAAGAGAATGATAATCCCTTTCTTCATGATTAAGTACAGCGTTAGCGAGTTCTCAAAAAAAAAAAAAAAAAAAAAAGAAGACAAAAGGAAAACGTATATATCAGATGAATAAAATAAAAGATTTTTATGGTTTGAATGAATAATGCTTAATTTATATAAACATGTCCAACGTTTCATCCTTTCAAATGTTTAAAATATAATCAATCTACGAGTCTGTTTAGATTCTTACAATTTTTCTTTAGGTGTTTCTCTCTATACAAATCCTTGAATCGATGAAAATTATCAGAATACAAGAGCAAAAAATGGTTGTGAAAGTTTTAAAATTCTGATCGATTTAAGCCATTTCAATTGATATTTTATAGTGTGTCTTTTTATGTTGTAATGTCACACTACTGTTTCAGGTTAGGATGAAGGTTGGCGCCTGTTAAAACGTTTAAACCCGCTGCATTTGTATGCACCTGTCCTAAGTCAGGAGCCTGTTGTTCAGTGGTTGTCGTTTGTTGATGTGGCTCATATGTGTTTCTCGTTTTTCGTTTTATATATAGATTAGACCGTTGGTTTTCCTGTTTGAATTGTTTTACACTAGTCATTTAATAGCTTGCTGATCGGTGTGATCCAAGGCTCCGTGTTAAAATTTGCATACAAGCTATTTTTTACCTAGTCAATTTTTATATGTTATGAAAAATATGAAAATTCCAGGTGGCTTAAATAATATTCCTTAATATTGTATTGTTAAATATGTTGAATGGAGAATACTTCGTAAGTCTGTCTAATTCAATTTGTGTTTATGCAAATAAAATATGTGACAGTGTAAACTAGAACAGGTCTCATATAAAGACTACCTAGATAGCAACTTGATCATATCATAACAACATACACTTGATAGTTAACATATGCGACAATGAAATTAATTCTTGAATACAACCAATCAAGAGATCATTTGAGCCTTAAGAACTTTACAATATTCTAAGTTTGTAAGAGAATGATAATCCCTTTCTTCATGATAAGTACTCGCTAACGCTGTACTTAATCATGAAGAAAGGGATTATCATTCTCTTACATATACTAAACTATTGTGTTGATGTCTTTTCAAAATAAAAGCCTTTCTTAAAAGACAGACAGACAGACAGACAGACAGACAGACAGAATATTTTATTATAGTGTCACATACCAATATAAAACAATATCATACATCATAATATAAGTATAAAAATACAAATACAGATTTAAATCGAAGTTGAAATATCGGTAACCAGCCACAATTGACTTATGAGACACTTTCAATTACAAACTTATTCTAACATTCATTGAAAATGAATAAATGAATGAATAAAGCTTTTACAATAAAAGAACATACTATACACAATATTTTCTGTGATTAAACATAAAATACAAAGATTTTGCTAAAAAGGGTTGTATAGAGTAATGTGACATCAGAAAAAATAATTTGTCATCATGATTAAAATCGTTAAAAATTCGGGTTAATTGCACTTGCTTTCAAAAATAAACCATATCGCAGATCTGAATAAAATTCACAATGCATTAAAAAATGTTTTTCATCTTCTACACAATCAACTGTACAATATTTACATTTTCGGTCATTAAGAAGAGTTGTTGGCTTGGTGTAACGACCTGTCTCTATTGCTAAAGGTAGACACACAATACTAAATTTATATAAAATACGTCTACGTTGTCTATCATTTACATTTTTTTAGATATGAACTTGCGTAACTTGTTACCATTTGGTTCATTTCTATCTTGATACAATTTTTCAACCCATTCTTGTTTTTCAATTTCACATAATTTTGTTTTAATATCATAAATTTTATGTCTGTTGGAATATTGACTAGATACTAATATTGATTTTGTTATCAGTAAATTAAAAGCAAACTAAATATTATTGTTATATACATATACACATTCATGGATCTACAATATGTCGATAACTGTATCTTGGCATTGCATAAGGTCATGTTTTTCTCTGACTGTTTATGACGTCTTTACACTAAATCCATCGGATGTTGGATGTGTACGGATTGATAATTTAGTCTTAGATGCTTGATTTTTTTTATTAGTTGTTAGTGGCTTTGAACTAGCTGTCAGTAACTGCGAGTACTCTCAGATCTGTACTTAGTGTCTTTTTGTTGTTTGGATGTACAAGTACCCAGCCACGTATTTGTAGTATTTGTATGTTTATCCATCTGATGAGTTAAGCCTCTTTCAACTGCTTTTTATAGTTCGTTCTTATGTTGTACTGGTACACCACTGTCCCAGGTTAGGGGGAGGGTTGGGATCCCGCTAACATGTTTAACCCCGTCACATTCTGTATGTATGTGCCTGTCCCAAGTCAGGAGGTTGTAGTTTGTTTATGTGATACATATTTGTTATTCGTTCATTTTTTGTACATAAATTAGGCCGTTAGTTTTCTCGTTTAAATTGTTTTACATTGTCATTTCGGGGCCTTTTATAGCTGACTGTGCGATATGGGATTTGCTCATTGTTGAAGGCCGTACGGTGACCTATAGTTGTTAATTTCTGTGTCATTTGGTCTCTTGTGGAGAGTTGTCTCATTGGCAATCATACCACATCTTCTTTTTTATATCAATAATATCATTTATACCAAGTTTATGTGCTATTTCATAACATTTCTTGTCCCACGATCGAGAAATATTCATACCCCACATATGGACCTTGTGTGTTATTCTATAGTCATACGTATATCGCACTCTCAAAAATATACGGTACGTTTCTAAAAGTTCGGCTGAGTTCGTTGTTTTAAAACCCATATCACCTGAAACCGCTATATTCGAAGCATTTGATGAACATCCCATAAAGAGTCTTTATGCTTTGTTCTGAATCGTTTGAACTTCTCTCCAGCTGTCGTGTCCCCATAATCCGGCTCCATGTTATAGCACGGGTTCAATAAGAGTTTTATCAAGTTTTGTATAAACATCAAATGACATCCCTCCACATGATAAGAATTTAGTGTATACTGCAGAAAGCGCCCGGCTTGCGGATTTTGTTATCTCTCGGATCGTATATGTGTGCTCCATAAATTCGTTTATATGTAATCCTAAATATCTGTACGCATTGTCAAAGCTAATAGACATATCACCACATTTAAAATTAAAATTTGATCTCGGAGCCTTTTTGCTACGAAAATGTATAATTTTGCTTTTGGTCTCATTTAAAGTCATTCTCCATTTCATACACCAAGAATGAATACAGTTTAACACTCTGGTGCAATATCATCAACATATAGCAAAATTGAAACATTCATATTGGATGGAGAGTTGTCTCATTGGCACTCATACCACATCTTCTTATATCTATATCATCAATGTCAACACCAGCATTAAAAGCACGTATGTCTTCAGCTAGATCAATCACATAAATAGAAAATAATGAAGAAAGGGATTATCATTCTCTTAGTAAAGGTTAGACAATACTTGGTCATGTTTTATGAAGATTTAAAGCCCAAGGCGTAGCCGAGGGTTTTAAACGTTCATAAAACATGACCAAGTATTGTCTGACCAATTTAGAACATATTCACACCTTCGATTGACCTTACAAATTATCCTTTACCATTGTAATATTCAAACCTTAATAAGAATTCACTTGTTAACTTGGTTAATACAAGGAATGTATAACATAGGTAATGGTCATTTCAGTGGATTGAATGAAATAGCACTGACATAATTCTTTGAGGACAAAAAGGATAAATTGTTAAAACAATATATAAATATAAATTATGAAGTGGTAAGAAATGTTTCTTGATTGTGATTATGAATGTAAATCATGTAATATTTTAGCGAGGAATTATCTTTTTGTTTATTTACAGTTAAAATCAATAATTCAAAATTTGAGTTACAACTCAATTTTATTTTACAGCAAATATTTAAGCCCAGCCCTTTACATCAAATACCACTTCATTATGTCAGGGAAATGTTCAAATACAATGCCTTTAAAAGTTCTAAAGAAGCCTAATTCTAGACACATCACGATTTACTCGCATAGGGATTTGTGAATGAACATTTGTAAAGATATGTAGTCAAAGTGATCAAAGCATATTTTATCGCTGTGTTGAAGACCCATTGGTGGCCTTGGGCTGTTTTCTGCTCTTTGGTCGGGTTGTTGTCTCTTTGACACATTCCCCGTTTCCATTTTCAATTTTATATTTATAAAACAAAAATAGACAAATTGAATGTAATCATTTTCTTTTTAATTATGTGAAATAGCCAATAATAATCCAAAATTAAACGGGAAAACCCGCTATTATTACAAAAATATCCACAGTAGCATACAAAATAAGAAAAACTAAAGAATAGGGACAACAAAGTGAACACAGGGATTCGAACCTAAACCGACAATTACATACCTTTATCATGACTCTTTAACTCATTGATATTAACCATGTTAACCTCGCGGCTACCAACTTATACTATACGATTGTCTTTTATGTATACATAAAGGTACGAGCCCTGTGTGTCCGTTGTACCGATGTGTATCATATGTTCTTTTATATATATAAACTAGACTTTTAAATTGCAACCCATTGGTAGCCGAGAGGTTTCGTCGATGTGTTGATGTCAGCCACACATTTTTATTATGATATATCTAGTGCTATTCTAATCTTATAATTTTTAAATATGTTAAGTCAGACTCCACAGTTAAATTGATATCTTTTTTCCCCTTTCCATTTTTATAAATTGAGTTATCCCTCTTTATACTAGTTTTGGC